GGGGACCCACAGGTTGTGAACTACTGCTTTAGAAGAAGAATAATGGGAAACTAACACAAACTGTGTTCCACGGAACTCTAGAGTTCCACAAAAGCATCATAGGGTTCCACCACAAAAAAATATTTACAGTCTTTTAAAAATTCTTTAAGAAGTCCATGCCAGAGTATGAAGATCTTATTGAAATTCAATGCATCTCTGTTTTAAGAACAAAAATTGAATCTCTTTATTTCCAAACCTACTTTATATGAAACACCCAGCAAAAGGGGTAGATGAAAGAAGGAATCTTGGGGGTTCGCAGTGCTTAGGAACAGAGTTAGGGTTCTGCAGGGAGGAAAAGTCTTCTGGGGGGTTCTATGACCAAAACAAGTTTGGAAACCACTGGTTTAGATCATTCTAAACTACAAAACCCTTCTAACGAGTTTTTGAAAGATTATGGGAACTACAGTCCAAAAAAGTGGAATGCCATAGGTGATCACCTATGCTTTAGAGCCCCCCCCCCCCAATTAACTGAAGTGCTAGAAACACATGCATACACACCTTCAACTTCATGTAATGGAAACATAGCTAACCAGTGGCAGATTCTACACTCAGTGCCAAATATTTTTTGCTTCTGTAGCAGGATCCCAGAATGCCAACTTGCTGCCTCCCTCCTTCTCCAGTTCTGCCCAGCAACATACCTGTTATTCCAAGCCTCTGCTTCACTTAGTCAGAGGGAACAGATTATACTGCATAGTTGAATTGCTGCCATGGAACAACAAGTTAGGATTTGTTCCATGTTTCATTATCTGCTCAAGCAGCTTTCTATGTTATTATTGCATTTGTGGCGGGTTCTTTCCTTCTTTTATTAGTTCTGCAAAGTTTTATGAAAGCCTAAATCCACCAAATCTAAATTTGTTGATGGTTGAATAAGAGGGCTTTGTATGCAGAAAGCACCGCAGTCACACTGGTACAGCCAGTCTGGAAAAAAAAGAACACTATCTTCATTTATACTAATGATACAATTCTCATATCAAATAATGATATAGGATAGTGATGTGTGTCTGTTCAGATGTTTTCTTCCTCTTGCATTCTGGAGCTGCTTAAAATTAAGATTTGCCAGTCTGGCTTTGACATTGATGTCGGGTGGTCTTCTTCCAAAATGCCCTAATTTCTGGAGAAGTTGTCTTTGCAAAAAAAAAAAAAAGGACATGTAGAAATGCCTTCTTTAAGTCATTGTTTGTGACAAGCAATCCTTCACTTGAAGAATATAGATTGGTTCTACTATAAGATATATCGCTGTTGACAGCTGGAAGACATATCTCACCCCAAGTCCTCAGTGAGCCCTCCATTTCCTGGATAATTTGTCTGAATGCAGTGAGAGTAGTAAACAACACCAGTCAGTTGGACAAATTATCCTGACCTTCATCCCTGCCACCCGATTATCCCAACCTTCATCCCTGTCACCAGAAAATTCACAAATTTGTTCTGTTGATTTTCAGGTTTTTGGATGGCGGAGAGAGGAGAGAACAATGTGTTCCCAAACCTGGCACAATTCTCCCAAAAGGTATTGTTTGAGGCATCATTTTCTTCTCATACCATTAGAGATAGCTGTGTCTATGATATTTCTTCATGTTTCAGAAAGAAACTGAGGAAAACTCCTATATTGTATAAGAAAAAGGCCCATTTTATTTTAATAAGTAATAACCTTCTGCTGTATTCTGAGCCTTATTGGGGCCAAATTACAATAAATCAATCAAGTTAATTGATGAGTCAACATTTATGTCCTATAGACCCATTTATTCAATCTGCCCTCATGCAACTACTGTCACTCAAGAATGGAAGAAATATTGAGGTTGCTGGCCCCACACCTCTTGCCTCCTGCCATCCTCCATATGTTGGGAGGAAAATATGAAGTTGGGAGCGGATTCCTTCTGCATGAACTCTCCACAAGATATATAAACCTCTACGTAGAGTCCAAAAATACATAGAAATCATGGTCCTTGTTTTAGACTACTACTCCACCAAGGATACAGAGTGTGGACAGGAGATGGGATGAATGGCAGAGTACAATCGTACTCTTCTCCCCATATCCAGGTAGAACAAATATATAGGAGCTGAGGACCATGTCTTCTGCAATTGAGACCCCCATCTTTAGTAAGTGGGTCCCTCTTATACTATCTGCCTTTGCAACACTCTTCTGAACTGACAGCTTTGATTTTTTTAAAAGTGTATTAATGGACAGCTATTATGCTTTGTTCCTACAGGCCTCAGAACATATAAACAGCCCTGCTGTTTGAACATGCTCAGGGTTCTCTGTGGCAACGCAGAAGAATGTGGATTTATTGCTAACAGCCCTGCAGGCAAATCCCAACCCTTTCATTCATGGCACTGCTGTTGCACAATCTTTACCAGAAAAACAAGATACACATAAACCTGGAGGGAGGGCGAGGGCAGATACCCTTAGAGAGTACAAGATGCCAGGGCCAAGCCTTTCTCAGGCCCCTTCTACATTGCCAGAGAAATCCAGGTTATCAAAGCGGAAAATCCACATTACCTGATTTAAACTGGATTATCTTAGTCTACACTGCCATATAATCCAGTTCAAAGTAGATAATGTGTATTTTACACAGCTGTGTAGTAGTGGCCTCTGATTCCATGTATGTCAAAGCTAAAGAATGAAAGGAAAATTTGCTGGAAAGCTATGCTTCCCTCAAGCCTATTTTCTCCTTTCCAGCCAAGGGATGATGGAATTGTTTTCTTTTCCAGCTGTCCCGTCAGTTCTGTGAATAGACACCTCTCCCAAAGAAATTCATCTTTCAAAATTTGTACTCACTAAAATGAGAAATATATCCTTCCACTGGACCTTATAAAATAAGAAACATGCCCATTCATATTCCTCTACTGATAACATTGCCAAATATGGTGTGTTCTCAGTGTTTCAGAATGCAACTTCCATTGGTCACAGGCTAATATGGCAAATGGTAAAGAATCATGGAAGTTCAAGTAGAAGCCACCTGACATGTGAGATGCTTCATATCCTTATGCCTTTTTGTGTTGGTCTTCATTGAATTCAGCTGTGTGGATTTCCCCGCAAGCTACCCTCTGATCTTATGTGCTTGTACTTTCTTCTCTCTTTCCTAAACCATGAGTACAACATCTCAAGTTAATTCACCACTTCTTTCAACAAAGCAGCAGGGAAAACGTAGAACTGCTTTGAGTCTGGTCCAAGAAGTTCTACCTGAGATATTCTAGTTAGTCACTGCTGTATTATAACATCAGTGTTAGGAAATAATGTTCTGTAATCAGCACTGTTGGGACAAAATGAGTGAGCAAGACTTTCATATACTCTATTTTTGGGAGTTAGTGACAGAACCAACTACATGGAAGGGACATGTCTTGGAGATTGAGATGAAACTAGCCCTGGGAGCTTGCTGACAACAACAGATCTGCTACAGGCCTTTTCACGTATGTGTATTTTCTGCAGTAGACACCTGCGTTGAGTGGAAAATTGGGTAATCTTAAAATACTTGCTAATATTACATCATTAATACATGGAAATGCTTAGCTCTGTGGAATACATGCATAATGTTGTGAAAGATCCCCAGGAAAACACACACACAGGAAATTGAATCCTGCAAGATTGGCAGGGTGGCACCACTCCTTTAACTTAATTTAAATGTTAACACAAACAACAAAGGTTATAGAAAAAAATAAATGCAAGCTATAATTTGATTTTTGGAATTAACTACCAATTTTCATTTGCAAGATGTGTTGAAAGTCACCAGTTTATGAGTGTCTCAGCATCCTGTCTTGCTTTCTTCAGCCAATATTCTTCATTAGTCAGTAAGAAATGCATACTCTTGCCCCATCTGTTTCCTTGCTGACTTACTTACTTTTTTCGTGTCAGGAGTGACTTGAGAAACTGCAAGTCGCTTCTGGTGTGAGAGAATTGGCTATCTTCAAGGACATTGCCCAGGGGACCCCGGATGTTTTGAAGTTTTACCATCCTTGAGGGAGGCTTTTCTCTTGTCCCCGCATGGGGAGCCAGAGCTGACAGAGGGAACTCACCTGCATTCTCCCCTGATTCAAACCTGTGACCTGTTGGTCTTCAGTCCTGCTGGCACAAGGGTTTAACCCAGTGTTTCCCAACCTGGGGGTCGGGATCCCTGGGGGAGGGGCATCAGAGGGGTCACCAAAGACCATCAGAAAACACAGTATTTCCTGTTGCTCATGGGGATTATGTGTAGGAAGTTTGGCCCTATTCTGTCATTGGTGGGGTTCAGTATGCTTTTTGATTGTAAGTGAACTATAATTCCCAGCAACTACAACTCCCAAATGGCAAGGTTTGTTTTCCCCAAATTCTACCAGTGTTCACATTTGAGCAGTATTCATGCCAAGTTTGGTCCTAGTTTGATCCAAATCCATCATTATTTGAGTCCACAGTGCTCTCTCGGTGTAGGTGAACTGCAGCTCCCAAACTCCAGTGTTTTCTGTTGGTCATGGGAATTCTGTGTGCCAAGTTTGGTTCAATTCCATCATTGATGGAGTTCAGAATGCTCTTTGATTGTAGGTGAATTATAAATCCCAGCAACTACAACTCCCAAATGACAAACTCATCCCCCCCTCCCCCAACTCCGCCAGTATTCAAATTTGGGCTTATTGGGTATTTGTTCCAAATTGGGTCCAGTGAATGAAAACACATCTTCATATCAGATACTTAAATTACGATTCGTAACAGTAGCAAAATTACAGTTACGAAAATAGCAACGAAAATAATTTTATAGTTGGGGGTCACCACAACATGAGGAACTCTATTAAGGTGTCACGGCATTAGGAAGGTTGAGAACTACTGGCTTAACCCATTGTGCTACCGGGGGCTCCAACTAACTTACTGATGTGAAGTATAGTGAGAGGAGACAGAGTGTGTCTCTGCGTGTAATATTAAGTAAACAACATCAAGACTGTGAAATGGATTTTGTCTCCAGTATACAACACTTGCAGAACACAGTTACCTGAAGTCCTTTGATAAGTGAAACAGAATTATTTTATTGAGAAAAACAATCACATTTAAAAACAATGCAAATTATAAAAGGTGTATTAAAACATACCCAGATCTATAGTCTCAGTTTTCTGTTGTAGAAAAAGAAGATTATAACAGACTGAAATACTATATACACAGTATATCTTCATATTAGTCTAACAAACAGCAAATTCTTTCAGAAGGCACTGCAGCACTGTACATGTGGTTCATGTAATTTACACATTAAAAAAACTTGTAAGAAATTGACAGACTAGTATTTTATCTATCCTTGCATTTTATGAAATATTTTTCCAGACTTTGTGTGTGTGTGTACACATAATTGCCTAGCCCAACCCCTTTGCGTTTCATTCCTTCACACTCACACACAGATTGCTTTATATACATATACACTGTATATATACACAAGCTGATATTGTGGATCAGAAATTAATTTCTATGCAATACTACTCCCTTCAATTAACATTTGGATGCTTGCAATTCTTATTGCAATCCTGGGATAAGCAATCATCTGACTGAAGACTGAAATGTGTGGCTTTGAAATTGGTAGTTTGTACATTCTTTTTCCAATAACCTCTTTACATCATGAAAGAGAGATTTCTATCACAATCCACATGGTTTTAGTACAGCCATCTCTATAATACATTTCCTCTCTGTGATCATGTTGACTTGTGCAGCATGGACGAGGGAAAAATAAGTTCCAGTAATAGTCTAGAAATATTCAGAGGACATTTCTCCTATCCTTAATCTGATTTTTTTTAAATGTTTGAAATATTAGAAATTGACTACATTGAAAGAAGCAAGGGCCTACTTAACCTTTTGTGTGTGAGTATGTAAAAAATGGTCCTCCTCATGTAACCTTAGTAACTATTGGGTAAGGCATTCTTCCCAGGAAAGGTCACTGCTGTCTCAACATATGGCTTGCTCAACACTACTTTGCAAGTAAGCCATTAGACTGAACTCAATGCAATGCAAACACTTGCTCCCATCCTTCCTCAATGTGTCAGGAATACACTGCTTCATTAACCAGAAGCTTCTGCTTGAGGATAGCCTGGACTTAGTTGCAAAGTGGAGCAGACAGGTGTGCCACAGTAACTGCCAAGGGAACCCTCATCCCCTTTGCATGCAACACTAAGGACACAAAGAAACACCTTATGTTTTGCTAAGAAGCATCACAGCAACAGCAGTGTTCCCATCATGTTCAACCATTTGCGATGGGGTCTGAAATGAAAGGCTTGGCATGCCAGCAAGGGCCCTATGCTTTAACAGAATCTGCACTGTGCATGTGTGTCCACCCCTTGCTGCCAGATGAAGAGCTGTCAACCCTTCCTCATCAGGATCATTGATGTTTTCCAAGTTGACAAGTTCCTTTGCCACTTCATCATGTCCATTTTCAGCAGCAAGGTGCAGTGCTGTCCTGTTTAAAGGGCCCTTGGTCATGACACTTGCTCCTTCCTCAATCAACAACTTGGTGGTAGACAAGTGACCATTGCGTGCTGCCAAATGGAGTGCAGTACATCCTTCCACCGTCACTGCTTCTATGTCTGCACCACGGTTGAGAAGCAGCCTTGAAGTACTGGTGTGCCCAGTTTCAGCAGCTACGTGGAGAGCTGTCTGGCAAAACACATTTCTTATGTTGACATCTGATTGCAGTTCTATGAGTATACGAGCCACTCGGTAATGACCTCTCTGGGCTGCCAAATGCAGGGGGGTCCTTCCATCCACTGTCTGTGCATTCACATTGACCCCCGCCTGCTTGGCCAGGAGCTTCACAATGGACAGGTGACCTTGCCAAGCAGCATAATGTAAAGGCACCCAGTCATCCTTTCCCTTGATATCCACATCAACCCCTCTTCTCAGGAAGATGCGTACTATGTTCTCTTGGCCATGTTGGCAGGCAATATGAATGGGAGCCCTTCCTTCAAAGTCTACCTCATTGAGCAAGGCATTCTTCTCCAGCAGCATTCGTGTGCTCAGTTCATCCCCATTCTGGGCAGCAAAATGGAGAGCCGTCCACTGGTCTTCATCCTTAGCATTCACGTTAATTTTCCTGGCCAGAAGCAGTTCAACAATGCTTTTGTTCTTTTTTTCTATAGCTATATGGAGGGGTGTAGAACCTCTCTTATTGGTCAAATTGGGGTTGGCATTATACAGAAGGAGCCACTTGGCACATTCTTCCTGGCCAGACTCAACAGCCAAATGCAGAAGGCTGTAATTCCCATCCAAAACAAGGTCAACATCCTGAGGCTGAAGGATCTTCATCAGTTTGCCTGTGTCTCCAGAAGTGATTGCCTCAGCCAACTTTCTTTTCTGAATATCTGTTGAATCCATATCTGGAGAAGAAGAAAAGTGAAAAATCAATCTTCTAGTACAATTAAATTTCTACATGTGATTACTGTCACCACAAAGAGACATGGGGAATTTGCTAAAGAAAAAAGGGGCTGCTACACTTTTTTTTTCCAACTGAGGAATTCAGAACTGTTTTCAAATGCCAGCCCCTTTTCCCATATTGGGCAATATGAGTCCACATACTTTTACACCAGCTGGGTGGCACCAACTGTATCATGGGTGACCAGGTTATCAGATTTGTGGTGTACTGATCATGTGGCTTTCTGGAATGACAGGTATTAATTAGTGCATGAGGCATATGCCTGTCTGTGCATACACAGACTATTAGGTTTTTCAGTTACAGTGTCCTGAGTACTGAAATACCTACCGAATTTCAAAGTGGGAAAACCCCACAAATGCACACCTCATTTCAAAAACATATTTTATCAAAAACATTATATTAAGTGCAAATAGGGATTTTAAGTGTTTTACAAGCACAATCTTTATGTAGAAGCGCTCTTTGTTTGTTCAGTGACTGGTCATTTAGAAAACTTCTGATAAACGTATCTGAGGACACTCAACTTTGTAGTCCAATATTGTCAAATCATTTCAGGGAATGCTCAACCTCTGTGCTTAACCTTGGGATGACTTGATTCTCCTTGGCTCCCTTTTATTATGATCAGAGTAGGTGTTTAAAGCCAACTGATAATCAAGTGATTATTTAAATTAAGGAGAGAGAATGATGTAGTTCTCTAAATGTTGCTGGACTGCAAGTCTCAACAGCCCTGACCAGCATAGCTCATGGTGAAGAATGTTGCAAACTGTAATCCAACATTTTGAGGACTGCTAGATTTTCATCTGTGACATATATGTACCTTAACTAATTGAATATGACATGAATGTAACACTTGGATATAATTTTGGTTCTCAAGCTTTGGTCCTCCAGGTGTTTTTGGACTAGTTGGACAAGTAGCCTGACTTAATATAAGGTATATTCTTTTTGTTACTTATGCACATGTATTTGTGGATATGGTCCAAGTCAGAAAATGCATTCTCCACACTAATGTTTTAAGGTTTTTTTAAATACTCATCCTTTGGAAGAACCTTATAACTTTTGAGCATTAAAATCCTGGTGGAATCTCATTTGGTTTGCTGCCAACTGGACAAAGTAAAAGAACAAGTGAACAAAAAGGAAAAGGTGGCCAAAGGAACTGTGTTAAGATACCGGGCTGTGGGTTTTTGAAAAACCTCTGAGTACAAACTGAGATGCAAGCCCAGAGCTCAAAAAGGTTACTTTATTCCCCGAACCCAACATGGTTGCTGGAGAATTGAGGAAGTTGTAGTTCAAAGCATAATTTTCCCCAGCCCTGGGCTTGTGTATCAGTTGCAACATTCCAACGCAGTCACACAAGATAATCTACATAGGCTCAGAATACACACAGATCAAGGAGGTTCATCATTGGAATGGCCTAAACTTGCATGGCAAATCTAGAAAGTCCTTACCACTTCCAGAATTCTCTCTCTCAAAAGAAAGTGACAGGGAACCTCGTGAAGAAAAAGCAGAGTCTACAGACGACACTCCTGAAAGCCTTTTGTCGCTTGAAGCAAGTCTTGATTCAGAAGCACTACGGCTAAGTTCTTCAGGCTGTTCTGTCTCTGAAATTCCAGAGTCCAACTGGGATAACAACTCAGAGAGACTATAATCCTTAGCAGATGCAGGACCTTCTTGCTTTAGCTGGGACAGCCCTGGCATCTCCTGGAAGGGAAGAATTAGAAGTATTAGTCAAATGTTGAACAGGAGAAAGATAACCAAAATATTAGCTCATTTTACTTTAAATATACTGCTCACCTTGGGATAAGTTTGAGTAGTCTTAGAATCTTCTTGATCAATAACTTCCTTGTTATCATTTTCTGGTTTTTCACAAAGGTCTTCTGTTTCAGATGTAATTTCTTCAAAATAAAAATAAATAAAACAAAACTGAAACTCATACTATAAGATGAGCAGAAAACATTTCCCCTACACAGCACAGTATCCATTAGAATAAATATGATACATTTTTATATATGTATAAAGAATTAAGAGTTTGTTTGGGTGTAAGAAGAGTGGTACATCTGAAACTTTGGTCAACCACAGTTTTTGCGCAAAGCTATACAATATTGGGTATGTTTACACCATGGCTTCTGGAGCAAACAATCAAGATGCAAAAAAGAGAGGTTGGACACCCACTGTTCCAGGAATATTCAAAATATTTTTACTTCCTCTGTAGGGAAGGAAAACCCCAGACTTTCTGCACTACTAATGTTACATTATGTAATCATGATTTTTTAGCTGAAATTTTAATATGCCAATTGTATGACCAAACAGGATGTAGAGCCATGTTCAGATTTGTCCTCAGAAACAAAAAGAGATGAACAGAAGTACAGAATAAATAATAAGCTTTATTTATATCCTGACCCCTCTTCTCAAAGGGACTTGGGGTGGCTTAGGGACACGGGGATTTGTACTTTCCAAGTAATTCTCTCTTTTTCATCCAAAGACACACACATATGCAAAATGCACTGGAATCCCTTCACCCCCCCCCCCAAGAGTTCTGTATTTTTGGCAAAAACACCATCCACAAAAACAAAACCTCTATCAAAGTATAATTACTTCTAGGGGTTATGGAATCCTATGGATTAGATTCTAGGAGATGTTCAAGGTACTCTCACATGGCACAAATGCCACATTAATCCTCCACTTAAATTTTAAGACAGTGCAACACTTTAACCCATGCTAAGATCAGTGAAATGTTACCTGTGTACACTCAAAGACAACATTTTGTATTATGATATGAAATAAAAAATCTAATCATTTTGAACTGGATTAAAACATCTATTGCACGCAGATGTTATAGAATAGAACATTCACATTAGGAAGCAATTTGGGGAATTAAATAGACCAAGATATATTTCATGTCTAAATCAACACATTCATGATCAGACACGTTCATGAATAACATTTCTCAGAAAGGAGGAAGTTCCTCATGGTTTGACCAGTACAGAACAGTGAGGTATGTATACTTTGCATTCATCATTTTTACAAGATTTTGGTGGAGCTGCGCCGGGGATTAATATAGTCCTGAATACTGAAATGAGTCACTCATTTGCCAAGAGTCACACAAGAAGCAAAAATGTACCTTGAAATGTTGGCCTTTTGCTAGGGTCATCTTGCCAGCACTTTTGCATCAGTTTGATCAAGTTATTACATGCATGAGGTCTGGATTTGGAAACAGCAGGTAGTTCAGGACGATGCCCATTAACGACCTTCACCATGATGTGTAGAATGTTATTCTCTTCTGCAATTAAAAAGCATCAATGAAGACCACTCTGGATATGAAAAACACATTTGCCCTTATTCATCTAGGTTCTTCTCTATTAAGATTCTCTCCCTATATAGGAAATATACATTATATGCCTCTTGAGTCCATTCCTTAGCACAAAACATGAAACTAAAGTAAGAAACTAGCGTTCCCAGATGTTGTTGGGTTGCAACTTCCATGATCCCTCACCAATGGCTATACTGGACAGTAGGCTTGTGCATTTTGGCATCATCTGAACATGTTGATAAGATGCTCTTTTTCAACAGGTAAGGCATTCTCGTTTTGTCAGCCTATTTTATGAGAGCAACAACAATAGCAACCCCCAAAACAATCCTGGAGCATTGGAGAATCAGCCAATATACCATCTATCTTCTCTTAAAATTATTGTGATCATGATATTATAGACTAAGTAGTTAACACTGAAGCTGAATATGATGGTACATGATATTGTGGATAACTCTTTATACAGGTCATTTCATGCAAGGGAACTTTCTGCAGCCCACCTACTATTTCAACTGTACTCTGAATTACTCTTGGGAGACTGCTGAATGCATTCATGGCCCTGTCTGACAGCTGGGGTTAAGTTCTATAGCTTTTTTAGAATTTCCCAAGCTTCGCATTCTTTTAAATTTGGCTTTCAGTGCAGGAAGAGTAGGTGAAGCTTCTTCAACATTATCCTTCAATGACATAGACAATAGTTTAAGCACCTGGAATAGATTTTATCTGTCACCAATGAGGGAGGGTGGGTATACTGAAAGCTAACCACATCACAACAGGAACACTCATTTGGGGATGACTTGTGTTTGATGTTTTCCTCTAATACATGATTCATGTAAACATGCATTTATTGGCTTACCAGAAAAGGGCTTCTTCTGTGTGAGAACTCCCCAGATAACAATGGAAAAGCTGCAAAAGAATTATTCACTGATGTTAACTTTATGAAAACTGTGTTGTTGTTTTAATTTAGGCAGTCTAGTACCCAAAGTAATCATATAAGAACATCAGATACATGATTAGAAACAATGCCAAAACAAAGGTAGATTGTAAAAACATGAAAAGTGGACCTGTCTTGCTAGAAGAAACTAAATCAAGAGCTATCTAATCTACCGTTGTGCTTTCAATAAAACAGATGCCACTGCATACTCACAAGCAAGCCAGTATCTAAAGAGATCTTGTAGTACCTTCATAGCATAAGCTTTCACAGACTTAAGTCAAGATCCTTCAGATAAAGCCAGAGAGGGATATTTGCCCTAATTGTTCCAAATGTTATACCATCAGAATCAGCTTTTTGTAATCCTTTCACAAGTTATCTGAACTAAGGTTCATCGTCATATCTTGTGAAGCAAATGAACCATCTATTGTGTAACAGTTCCTTCCTGTCCTGAATCTATAGCCAATTAAATTCACTGAGAGGCAATAAAAGGTTGGAGTCACAGAAAGAGATATCTACTAACCTGTCTCTTACATTTTACTACTCAAAACCTCCCACTGATGGTTGCCAGACACTGTTTGGGAATGACAGTCTTAACTGCACACTAAGATGTTTATCAAGAAAACTGAAAGCAACTTCAAACTAGTGAACAGCCCCAAGTATCAAGAGCTGCCTGTATACTCTGTCCGCACAAGTTTGTAGCCGGTTATCTCTTGGCTGGCCCTGAGTGAATCACAATCATTGAAGCAGTACTCTGACATAAAGTGCTACCTTTGCTCTGAATGCCTTTCAGGTGAATAGCAGCACATCAAGAGTAATTGCTGGTGAACTTAAAAACAAGCTAAGCAGCCCACGGATTGGGCAGCAGATTATGTGAGGCTCCTAACAGCAAGAAGTTTAGAGGATTCAAGAGTGACAAGATTGTCAGAGTAGAGACATATATGGGACCTCCAAAACCTAACACAGTTTAGGGCTTTAGCATCTTATATTCCAGTCCAAGGTTGACTCAGGAGCACTGAAGGAATCTAGAATGCCAAAAGATCAACTGAATTCTAACAACCCTCCCCAAACAATCAAAAATTATTTGCAGATATGACATTGGTATGACAAGAATTTAAACACATATCTCAGCAAAATCTGAACAAATCACCATGAGAGTATTATGCATTAAAGCTACCCTAGATTCCTTAACTTTATTTTCTAGGATTGTATTGATCTGGCCCAGGAGCCGGCTTAAACCCTTGTGCTGGCTGAACTGCTGATCTGAAGGTTGACCGTTCAAATCCATGAGATGGGGTGAGCTCCCATCTGTCAGCTCCAGCTTCCCATGTGGGGACATGAGAGAAGCCTCCCACAGGATAGTAACACATTTGGACATCCCCTGGGCAACGTCTCTGCAGATGGCCTCACACCAGAAGTGACTTGCAGTTTCTCAAGCAGCTTCTGACACAATAAAAAATTGACCTGGCCCAGTACCCCAACTGTTGTAATGAAAAAGTATAAGCAACAAATGCCTTAAACTGATGTTTCAGAATTTAGCAAGGATTTACCTTCAACAATGAAGAAAGGAAGAAAAAGACTGGAAAACCAACCTGTAGACATCATGCTTGGTATCGAAGTATCTGTTCTTCTCTTTGATTCGTTCTGGAGGGAGATATGCAATGGTGCCACATAGTCCATCCATGCTAAGGTCATGAGAATGTGAAAGGCCATTGCATTTGGCTAATCCAAAGTCTGAAATCTGATAAAATAACAAAAGGTTAAAACTAAAATTCTCCAAAATAATTGCTATGTGTGCAAGGTTTTTTTTTTCTGAGGAGCTCAATTTTACTACCTTTTTCTGCTAGATTCCTAAATTACACTTTATAACTGGCATTTGAAAACATATAGCAAATAAAACAAAACTGGGAGACTCTAGAATAGGGCAAATTATTTTAGTCTGTTAAAAGCAACACACCAAAAGGGCCAAGTGGATTTTACAATTGCATCAGCCTATAAAACTGACTGATTAAGCCAATGTTGCCCAAAGAGTCATTTATACAAAGCTTCTTCTTCTTTCTTTTTTTTTGCTAGCTAATAAAAATTGTGTGAATGTATTTTGCTTTTGCTCAGTCAATGATGCATACTCTTCTACCAAATAAGGATACTCTAGAATAAATGATTTCAAAACACACCCTCCTCAATTTCTTATCAGGCTCAAATAGCAGATAAATTTATCTTTGCATTTCAAGATTGCAACTTTAGGACACACTCTTAACAACCTGACTAGATTGCATAGGGAGAGCATTGTAATATAGCGGTTTGATTACTGGAATAGAACTCTAGGAGAGCAGTGAATCTAGGCATCCATACTTGGCATGGAATAATCTGGTCTCAGGGTTCAGAGGAAAGGAAAGGCAACCCCTCTCTGAACAAATCTGTAGCAACAACATGAGTCAGAACTAACTTGAAGGCACACAGCAGCAGCAGCAACCAATGTTTCTTGTCTCTTAAAACAAGCATGTATTTCAGAAACACCTAATTTTTTTAAGAAGAACTAAATGGTTGGATGAGAGATGTCAATGGAGTATGATTATTTTTGCCTACAGCATGGGGATGGGCAGAAGCAACAAATGCAAGGCAGATGCTTTTTGGGACACTCTAGTGGAGTAGTTCTCAACTTGTTGATCCCCAGGTGTTTTGGCCTACAAATCCCAGAAATCCCAGCCAGTTTACCAGCTGTTAGGATTTCTGGGAGTTGAAGGCCAAAACACATGGGGACCCACAGGTTGAGAACCTATTTGAGTAAAGTTTTGGAACGTGTGGTAGTCTCGCAACTCCAGGTGTTCTTGGCTGCATGGGACTGTGAAAAACACCCTGTGCCTTAACAAGAGAGGGATGCTCTGGGAAGAAATTTTGTGGCTTTAAAATATAATGCACATAAGGTTTAGTTGTATAGCCCCTTTTTAAAATGACTGGTGACCATGCAGTATGTTATGTTAAATTCCAAGAGTCTCCTTCTAAGCACACTTATGTAATGTAATGACAGAAAAGTGTCAAACATGGTGACTCAACATTTGGACACTGACGTAGGCCATTAGATGAACCTTTTAAAACACTGTCAGCTTTATGACTCTTTTATCCATCTCACAGCTGCTTTGAATAAAATTCAAAAGCTTTATTGAAGTGCTACTATCACCTATCACTATGCCCATGTCCACCCACTTAAATACCTGGGACATTAGACAACCTGATGGCCTCCAGGTGTGTTCCATTACCCCCAACCATCAGGAAAGCACTAGTTTGGGGAAGTCTGACTTTCCTATTGGACTTAGTATGAAAGAGATATATTGCATTCCAGATTATAAAATATGCAGTCATAAGTCAGTGATATGAATGACTGAAGTGAAATTTAAGACTAGCAATTCAGATGCTGGTAATACAGATGTTCCCAGTGATAACTCTAGAAAGGCTTCCAAAAGAGAACAGACTTGCATTTTATATATATACTCCCTGCGCATTCTACAGCTCAGTCATCTTTGTAAGGTCTGTACATTCAAACTATTTTTGAAAATGTCTTATTTATGAGCACAGGTTCAGCATTCTTATCCTGAATTCCAAAATATTCAAAAACCAAGTTGTCCACATGGTGGCTGAGAGTGACACCTTTGCTTTCTGATACACAACCTATGTTTCATACTCAAAAGTATTAAACATTTTGCCTACTGACTACATGTATACAGTATATATGAAACATAAAAGCATTTTTTGTTTAAACTTGGATCCCATCTCCAAAATATCTCATGTATGGCTATGCAAATAAGTTTCCAAAATATTTTTTTAAAAACCCGAATACAAAACACTTTTAATCTCAACACATTGTTCTAGTCAATCACCCTTGACTTCTACAGTCCTTAAGGTTCAATCACACACAGTAATATTCCCACGTGGACACAAAATCTATGGGTATCCCTGGGCAAGTCGCCATATTGCAAACCCTCTTGCAATTTGGGCTTCTGCTGAATGACTGGCTGTTTTAGCGGGTTTTTTAAGTGCTTCCACTGGTGTGTTTTTTTTAATAAAATAAAAATGGATTATAATGTAATTTGGGTTGTTGTAAGTTTTTTGGGCTGTATGGCCATGTTTCAGAAGCATTCTCTCCTGATGTTTCACCCATTTCTATGTCAGGCATCCTCAGAGGTTGTGAGGTATACCTGCCATAGATGTGGATGAAACATCAGGAGAGAATGTTTTTGGAACACGGCCATACAGCCCAGAAAACTCACAGCAACCCAGTGATTCCAGCCATGAAAGCCTTCAACAACATATAATTTAATCATTTTGTGATATCATAATTTTAAAACCACATTTTAACATTATACCCTTATTGTGTTTTGTTCTGTACCTGCCTTACATTTTGTTGTAGGTTTTGCGCCTTGGAAGAAAGATGCGATACAAATCAAATAAAAATAAATACTTAAATGACGTAATAGGTGAAACATTAATAAGAGCCAAGTGATCCATGTAGGAAATAAGTTCAGGTTGAACCAAATGCTCTCAGCTTTTGTTTATGAAAAGAGTGGTGACTTTATAACTCATAAAACTGTAAACAACTTTGAGTGCCATCAAGTGGATTTCTGAGGGAGGGGGGATCAAAGAAGTCATTGGTAATGAGTTTTATTGCTCCACAGTAATCCAACATACCCTATCAAGTTATAAAGATGGATTAAAAATTAAGCTGTGTTGCTATGACTCATATGTACTTAGTTGTTTCTTATAACTCTGCAAATACAAAGACTTTAGTCTAAAATCCTACACTGTGTGTATGGAAAGTACTTCTATTAGGTAGCGCAGTGGATGTAGGTAGATCTCTTTCCCCTTTCCCACCAAAAGTCTATTCTGGAATGGTTCCTCTCAACCCTTTGGGGTCAGTTTTTGGTATGACAATTTGGCAACAAGAATTCCACAATCAAAAATGCTTTGGGGACCAAGGCATGAAATGATACTACTTTTCAGGAAAATGTATTGGGAATCTACACTAACTGCCATGACAAAATCACATGGGACTTTAGGATTTGGCACAGCACTAGATCGCTCTAAGAATTACAAATTTATCTGAAATTGCACTGGATGTTGCCTTGGCAGGTAAAGTTGAATCATCATTCTGTGATTATTTTGTTTTATCAGCATCAGGATAGGGAGAGTGGTGAAGGAGAGACACAGAAATACAGAATTTGAGTGTTAGTTTCCAGCAGAATGAAAAGTTCAAAATGTAATAAAGCTTGCGCTGTGAAATAGTGGGATTGTACTCTAGCTGGTCCAATAGGTAAAGTAAGCAGGAGCTGCTTCCAGAATCCCTTACTGAATACAACCAAACAAAAAGGGGACAGCAAATACATCTGGCTCACCAGAATAAAGAATATATTTATAAGTTTGTCAGCCAATCTGGAAAGTGGAGGTTGGTGAAAGCAAAATTATTATCCCTTGAGACATTTTTGAAGAAGCCTATAAATGATATTTTCCTTGTTTGTCAATGTTTTATTTGACAAGTGGTGTCAGGTCATTTTCAATTTATGGCAACTCTAAGGCAGAATATACTGTGAGTCGCTTCTGGTGTGAGAGAATTTGCTGTCTGCAGAGACGCTGCCCAGGGGACACCCGGATGTGTTACTATCCTGTGTGAGGTTTCTCTCATGTCCCTGTATGAGAAGCTGGGGCTGACAGATGGAAGCTCACACCAGCTCACCCTGTCTCACGGATTCAAACTGCCGATCTTCAGGTCAGCAGTTCAGCCGGCATAAGGATTTAACCCATTGTGCCACCAAGGATCCTGGCACCTATTACAGTGTTTCCTTGCAAGATTTGTTCAGAAGTGGCTTGTTCTTGTCTTTTTCTCATGCTGAGAGAGTGCAACTTGTCTATGGTCACATAGTGGGTTTCCTGAGCTAAGCAGTTTTGAGCCCTGTTCTCCCACATTTTTAGGGTGCATACTCTGTCAAAAAGGGAAAAACTATGGTGTACCTTGACATGATAATGGGCATCAAGCAGAATGTTTGCTGGCTTAAGGTCCAAGTGGAGCAGAGGTGGAGACATGCAATGCAGAAAGTTCATGCCCACAGCAGTCTCATGGATAATTCGGAAGCGCAGCTCCCAAGGCAATGGTTCTGAGGCCAGCAGTTTTTCTAGCGATCCTGTCTCCATGTATTCCATGACCAAGCCCACAGGTGCCTTGCAAATGCCATAAACGGGAAGAATGTAGCGAAATTTTGCCATTTCCATTTTCTTGGCTTCTTCTAACAGTTCCATGCGCTCCCTAGAAAGAAAGAATGGAGACTTTTAGCCATTTGATAAAACTGACAGTTTGCATGGGATTTTTCTCACATTTAACCGAAGTACAATACATAATAATAATAATAATAATAATAATAATAATAATAATAATAATAAATCTTTATTTATATCCTACCACCATCTCCCCAAAGGGGACTTGGAGCGGCTTACATGAGGCCAAGCCCAGCGATACATTACAGCAACATAAAATATAAACAACATAACTTCATGTATATTCACTCTTGATATTACATCATGGGTCAACTAAAGACTTGATTCAAAATGTACACAAACAGGACTCCACAAACTCTATCATCCAAGATGAAAATTTCTAAACTACCTTCATATTGACATGAATGGTCTTACCAGAGGTACTTACACACAACAAGCCCTATAATTCAGCAATGGAAGACCCTGGTTATTCCAATAGTCTAGGTCCAAGCATTAATTTCATTTTCTGATGTAGGAATTGTTAAACCCACCAAAATAAAAAAAATACTTGTAAGCTAATTGGCATTAGTGAATCATTTTAATTTAACATGAAAGCCAGCTAACTCTGACTTCACCTTCTCAGAGTAGAAATTAAAAGGAGTATAAAGGATTGGAAACTGTATATATTTATGAAGTCAAAGTCATCCATTAAATGGGCTTTATAAAATCCATTGAGGAGAAACAGCATGACTATATACAATTACTAATTTTGAATATTTTATAGGTAGACTAAGAATATAACCTGCAATTTTAGATCATAACTAATCACTCTATTGTCCAGAGAACACAAAGAGGCACAAAGGTTAGGCGGCTAGAGTATCATAAAACTATCCAATTACAGACCTTGCAGACAGCATGAAATATGTAACATGGTATTGAATTTTATCAGCAGTAGCATGAAAAATTTAGAACACAGAACTCAAGTGAACTTCTTAGGCTTTCATTCCTGGGTTCATTCCTGGGTTCAAGAATGTCTAACAGAGCCTCCGGAGCCATGCAGGCAGCAGTAGGCAGGCCTTCCCTGCAGCGCCTCAGGACCCCAGAAGTGCAGCAGCCTGAGGCGCGGTGGGGAAGGCCTGCCTCCCTGGACTCCGCAGACCCTGGCAGAGCAGCGGCCCGAGACGCAGTGGGGAAGGCCTGCCTCCTGCTGCCTGCATGTCTCTGGAGGCTCTGCCGGCTTTGCCAGGGTCTGCAGAGGCCAGGGAAGCAGGCAGGCACCCTCAGGATGGGCCGGGAGAAGGAGAACAAGTACTTCAATCGTGGGAGGACAAGCGGAGCCATTGGAGAGAGTTCCAGCCCGCGCACCAGCCTCCCTTTCTGAGGCCCATTTTAATGTACGTAAATATTTTATATTTTATATTACTATTTACAAAAACCCGCGAAACAGCGAGTCCGTATAAAGCAAACCACGAAGAAGCGAGGGAATACTGTATCTCACTTTTTCTCTCTTAAAGTGACTACGTGTTACAATTTGACCATTCTAAATTGGTTTCAAGATTTCACAATTGTAAAGGGGCAACAATTAATGTAAGTCAAAGGAGTTTACAAATATCAGCTTTCATCAGATGAGCAAAATATGTCCCTTTTAACTAATACTTAATCCCATCTTGAAGCCTAACATAAGAAAAACCCACATTAAGTTTATAAACACAGCAAGAAAAGCAATCCAAATGGGTTCCTAATCTGAAACTGAGCAGAGCTGCTGTAATTTGAACATGGCTGCACGTAAGAAGACAAGTGGTCAATTGTTCAAGTCACCAAGGTCACCTTTTCTTGACAGTGTAGTCACCAGGCAACTTCCATATATGACCAAACTCCAAAAACCACACAGGATCCAGAAGAGTCTGAGGATTTCCAAGCTTCAGTCCCATTTGCTAATGGATAAGATGTACTGGTAAATATTCAGTAGAGGAAAGTACCTTTACTTTAAGTACTTGTGGACTCATGACAACACTGCTAAAAAAAAGACAACTTAACACAGAGTCTGATTGTGAGGGCCTCTAAATATTTTTTTAATGTTCAAACACAGCATGCTAGTGAAGCCACATGATTCTGTCCAGCCAGTAGATCAGATAGCATTGTGCCAGCCAAAATAGGCGCACTGGACGGGAACAATCCAGTATTGTTTCTGTGTGGTGAAATTGTGTACAAGAGAACAGGCACTACACCTATTTAAAACAGGAACAGTTGGAGGGGGTGTTTTCACTCATGACTCAGGAAAAAGGGTTCCTTTGTTTTTATGAAAATAACTGAAATCAGTGGGTCGATTTTTCCATTCCAGATAGAGACACAGTAACTAACTACCAAGTGACTATCTATAGCAAGAAGTTGGCTTTCTGGACTGATCAATCATATCAAGAAGGATGGAACTAGGGGGACACGTTTTCCTAAGACTTTAATACAGTGGTTCTCAAACTGTGGGTCCCCAGATGCTTTGACCTACAACTCCCAGAAATCCCAGCTAGTTTACCAGCTGTTACGATTTCTGGGAGTTGAAGGCCAAAACATCTGGGGACCCACAGGTTGAGAACCACTGCTTTAATACTTCTGTATTCTGATTTCCTCAGCTCAGATTGTGGCTACTAATGATGGGACCTTTTCCTAGAAACCACAGCAGCTGCTATGACTACCCCAAAACAAATATCCTTCAAGAAGTGACCTGTGAGGAAAACCAGGGAATGTTGACGTGACATGGAGGAAAGAACTGCCAACGAATGAAAAAAAAACAACTAGGTTTCTACTCCTTCTCCACCTTTTCATTTCAATCTTAATCAGAAGGGGAAAATGATGCAGATATGCTTACCCTTCTGAATAACACCAGCTAAGAGGAGGTGGTTTCTTAGATAATTTAATTTGATCCCAACTGAAAAGGAGGGCATACCTCCAAGTTCCATGTATCTGTTGCCCTACCAGGTTTTGAAATTCATTGAAATCTGATTGATTCAACATGGTTCTTGATCACATGGTAGCTTTCAATTAGAGGAGGGAGCCCACCATGACCATTTTTGTGCCCCTTTCCTGGGAACAATTTCTTTTTTTAATATCTCAAATGCACTCTAGGAATGTGTGCAGATAGTTTCATCACATTACACATGAACACATCCCATTTTTCCAATATGTGGTAGCCTAGAAGCTGTCTTTTTGGCTTACTTCTATATAGGAAAAATGGCTCTACTTGGTTCTAAAATAATCTAGGGATAATCAAAACATGGTGACAAAATCTTTCTACATCCTAAGGAAGAATTCAGGATAGGAGAAAAGGAAAAATCAAATTGGGGTATGACCCTCCCGTCTCCTGGGAGGCCAATGCAATCTCTAACATCTTTAAAAAGACAGTTGCAATCCAAATACTAGCCTCAACACACTTCTTTCACAAGACAGCAAAGGCATACCTTTTACCCACAGCATTAGAGAATATGTTCATACATATATGCAAATGAATGTAGACCAAGAAAATCTGACAGGTTGCACTTATATTCATTACGAGCCTTTCTGATCTATAAATATAATCATTTGTATTGTATTGTTTAAGGGACCTTTGTCTCTGTGCATTTTTGCACATGTATATTTATTACAGTACCCAAAGGCTGTATGCTGTGGATTGCAATTAGAACTGGCTAGACGAGCGGCTCTGCTTTAAAAGTAGTATCTGCTTTCTGAGAGAAGTCAGTTAAAAACTTAATTTATTACTCTGAAGAGGAAAGAGAGATAATGATCCAGCATTAGTCAGTAAAAAATATAATGTATGTGTTTGATCTATGAAAAAACTATTAACTGTATCTTGGTGGCGGAGATCAAGAGAGCTTTGACAAGAATCTCAGCTATGTAAATTTTCTGGTTGAAAAAGATTACATTTTATCTGCAAAACCTTTACTACCATAATCATGGAATATATTTTAAATTAAGGAAGGTATTAAAACCAATAAAAAGTGATATGCATCATTTCAGGTTAAAATCAGCTCCTCTTTGAGAAGAAGCACTTCACATCTACTGATTGGGCAAAGCATTTCTTATGGTTACTACTGTTGCTCTTTGCATGACAGGTATGCCCTTCAGAGCTGCATGGTACACACAAGCTGAAAATGCTTTGGTTGGAATGTTTTATCCCTGATTTTCTACTTGCCATAGGTTTGTTGAAGACGAAGATGCCATGCCAAATAATATTGAGCCTACTATCAACAGTACTTATGCTTTTAATCTTGGTCCAAAACAGAAGCTGTTTATAGGCAATTGTTATATTATAGGCTGGAGGAAGTAATTAAGAACCATGAAGGACTTGTACAGACAGGTCTGGGTGTGTACAATGCAGCACCTGTACAACCCTTGCCATACATCTAAAAACCTGTTCCTATCTAAACCCAAAAACTCAAGAACTGTTGGCCATATCTGAAGGAGCCTATGCCGTTTACTATGTGCCCTTCGGCTACTTGAATATATGCCTGTTGCCTACTTAAGGCTGTAACACACATCAATTGTGTCAAATATATCAATTGTCTTGCTATGCTGCAAGTTCACAAAAAGTGTCTGTGCACTAACATCACCCCATTTTAAAGGGTTACATGATCATGAGGCTTCTACAGCAGTTTTTATAACGTTGAAGGTATCTGATGTAGAAAGCTTGCAAATGCCCATGTTTCAATTCAAGTTCATGATCCATGGAGAGTTGAAATTTTACCTTGAAAGAGCATTCACCAGACTGCATCATTATAACTTGATTCATAAAATTATCCCCCTCTGAATAAAAATGCAATTTGATCTTTTTAACAATTATCTTATCCCATGACCACTACTTTTCTCATCTCTAACTTAGCCCTGCTGCAAACTTAGACTTCTCCCTTGGTATCGCAGAGAAAAGAAATTAAGATGTCACCTCCATTGTCGATTAACTGGAGTTCATTGTGATATTTGAAAAGTGTGTAGAGTATGAATCCACTTTAAATCCTGTTTCTGCTCCTGCGGAATTCTGGGGTTTGTAGTTTAGTGAGGCTGTTA